TAATTATATTTCGGTGCAAGGCAGATTTATATTTAATACCTGTTGGACAAAGTGGTTTCCACTATTTTCATCTCTATTGTATTCTCCTGTGCATTTGTTTCAAGAATTAAAACACTCAGTGAGTTTGAATTAAATTTTATGTAATTATTTATGATAAAATAATATTATTTCAATTCAGGTTCTGTTTGAATGAATTATGAATTTAACTTTTTTTAAAACATTGTGTCATTATAAAACGACATGAAGTCTGCAAATATACACACAGTTTATATTTCTCAAGCTGAGAGGTGTCATTCTGAAGAATTGAACATATTCTATTTTTGACAGCTGGGCTGGATTTTCCTGTTTGAGGCAGGAGCCATTAGGCAGGGTCAAACTAAGCTCACCTTTTCATTCCTATTTCCAACCTTCTGAGTCATGAAATTTTCATGGGATCAGGTCTTAATGACTCTTTAGACAGACTGCTACACAATTAGTGGCTGGGTGTGGGGCGAAAAAAGGAAGCCAATCTGCAGGGAAGTATGCCAGATTCTGGCCAAATTGGCAGCTGAGAAGATCTTTACCTTCAAAGTGGCCAGGGCAAATGTAGAGCTGGGACCTGAGGTAGGATCACAAAATATCCGTTATTAAAATTCCATTGCTGCTTTTTCTGTTGAAACTTGCAGTTATTTTACAAAATAAAATTGTTTCTGCCGTACACTGCCACATATTTATGCCAGGCTGAAGCACATCAGTTTCATTGAGCTCCTTAAAGCTACTTGATCTCAAGAAAATCTCAGGATGTCAGGAGAGGCAGCTCTTAACAGCTCCCTAATGACCTTACCAATGCCAATTAACAAGGTAGATAACTTTAATTGCTCCCCATCCCACACTGAATGTTAGCAAAGTTGGGAATAGGTTTGGCAAACTGGTGTGTTGGCCATCAGTGCCATTTTGTTTGTCATTCTGTCTCTATTGTGTTCATTTCAGGACAGAAATATCCAATCTTTTCTGTCAGCACTGAACACTCATAATATTGTTGTTTATTGGTCTGGAAAGATCTGAAAGGGCTACCACTTGATTGAATGCAATAAGCATTAATGACTGTGACGATGTCATGAGGACTTAGTGAGAAATTTTGTGGGAGACAGACCTAAATCTAGATCCTTGCAACAGTCTTTGTAGCAATGTAGAGCCTATTCATATAACCTGTAAATAGTTTCAGAAATGCAATACACCACATCTTGTTTACAATGCTTTTTTCATGAGATTGGAAGGTGGCTACCCTCCAACATACTAGACCACGTTTAGAAGTTATGCTTTGTGAAATAACTCCACGACAGTCAATATTCCATCACCAGTCACTCTTTAGAGATAGTAGGAACTGCAGATGCTGGAGAATCCGAGACAACAAGGTGCAGGGCTTTTCCGAGACAACAAGGTGCAGGACTCTTTACTTAGGTTAGTAGGTTAACTCCTCCAACCAGGGAACTCATACTCTGTGAGATCTACCTCGATGGCCTCACTGCAATCACTACTCTTTACACTACACAATACACATATCATAGAAAGAGATGGCAATAGCATCCAATCAAATACCCCCTAAATAAGGCACTCCCAAATAAATTCTTGTGTGCATAATTGTCGAATAAAGTCTCCCTGCTCTCAATGGATCCATGCCAAAGCCTGTTAACCTGTCTTAGCCTGAGTTCACATTAGCTAGTGCAACAATACCTTAACCCTTACTTTTGAGGTGGCCAGTCTTTCCTTCCAGAAACTGTTTAACAGCCAGTCACAATTAAACAATATATTCTGGCCAATTAAACAATATATTCTGGCTTTGAGTTCTCATCTTGGTAGTCCCTAAAACCAATGAAACAATATTTTAAAAACATCTGAAGCAAAAGCTACAAGTTTGAATAGTGAGTGTTATCAAAAATTAGCCAAAAATAATGAAAAATACTAGATTTTATGGACTTTCTTTCAACTAGCAGTGCTGTCATATGAGCACTATTACTGAATTTTGAATTTGGTGGTGTAAGAAATGGTTAAAAGGTACTTCATTGAGGACCTCTAAGAAAGAGGGCCTTCAGCCCATCACATCTGCACAGTCAAAGACAACCACTTAACTAGTCTAATCACATTTTTCTGCACTTGACCTATGGCCTTGTTTACCTCAAAGTGTACATCAGATAGTCCAGTTGGTTGCACAACTGGTTTGTGTTGTAGAGTGATGCCAGAAGCATGGGTTAAATTCTCACATTGGCTGAGGTTACTGTGAAGGGCTCTCCTTCTCAACCTTTCCTCTTCTTTAAAGTGTGTTGACTGTCAGGCTAAACCACCACCACCCTCTAATAAGAGGGCAGCCCTGTGGAGGTTGGGATTATGGTGACTTTACTTATATAGGTGTTTTATGTCCATTACTCAGGTGGAAGTCGACCATTTATTCCATGAAAGACAATTTGAAATTCAGAGAAAAATTTGTACATGTTTATCATCCAACATACCAATGTGCACCCATTTAGCTATAAACAGCCCTTCACTCATAATAGAGATTGGTGATTGAGGTGAGGGTTTGAGGTGGTGTGTTTCTTTCCCTGTTCTTTTTTTCTTATTTGTTACCTATTTACTTATTTTGTCTTAAATGTGCAAATCAGTGAAACATTATCATCTGAATCAAAGTTGTGACAATTGTTCAATCTACATTCAAGCAAATGTCAATGCAAGACAAATTGCTGCGAAGGTAATGGCATTCTTGTGCACTCTGCATTTTCATACATGAACAATACTCAAGCTCCATTAGACTTGATGGTATGGGAGGAAGTGTGTCCATCCATGACAAGTACATCATTTTCTAATTTTTGCTGGTTCTCTGGAGATGGAATTTTTGACATGTTCTGAAAATATCACAATCATAATTTAGCCTGTTAACTGGCACAATGTATATGCTTGCACAATAAATATTAGTTTGGTGGCAAAACATTTGATGTCTGGATTGTTTCACACTTCTGTATCCAACCTGTCCATAGAGTCCGCAAGTGTGTGTCTCTAGTTCTTTAGTTAGAGATTGCTAAACATCAAATTATTATCCTTTACTTCTAAAATGTTGCAGTGATTTTTTGATGGTGATCAAGATTTCCACTGATTTCACCTTTCCTATTCCATTCAACACTCTTGCTGATTGTGTTCTGATAAACAGTGATATCCATAAAAGTAACCCACACATCTCTTTAATGTGATGAAGATAAATTGTACATTTGGTGTTTTCTTTTCCTGTGCAAAAGGAAAGCTTAACATCAATTTTATTGCAAAGTGCCAAGCGTATTGCAAAGGCATAAATGTCAAGACTGGCTGACTGGTACTGGCTGCAAATGTACTATGAAGCAATAGTTGGACAGTGCTCGGATTCATTTCACCTCCAGATATGCTTGAGCACTATTCTAATAAAGAGCATGACATTCACTTCCAAGTCCAACAAAAAGTGTTATGTCATCAAGGATCTATCTTGCAGACTTGCACCATCTTTCATAAAGGAACTGGAGTAGATGTCCTGTGTTGTCACTCTAAGTTAGAGATTTTGTCCACTTTTTTTGATCAGGAAGTATATCCTGGTGATTTGCATTCCTTCAGCTGACCACAATCCCCTTGCACCACTCTTCACTTCAATGGTCTTGTATCTGTCTGGAATAATGTAGATCACTCTTGATCTATCCATCTTTATTTGTCTCAAAACAACTCTCCAAATGTTAATTATGGCTTCATGACTTAAATCAATGCATTCCATATCCATGTTGTACCACATGAGATCCAGGGATGGGGTCAGATGACTGAGGAGGATTTAAGGTGATTTAGATATGTTGAGCGAATAGGCAAAGATGTGGCAGATGCATTCTCCGTGGCTAAATGTGAAGCGGGTTCCATGAGAATTTAGAAGGATGAGACAAGATCTGATTGAAACACATATTTAATACTAATAGGGCTGGACTGATTAGAACGAGGGAGGATATTTTGGCTGGTTGGACAATCTAGAACCGGGGTCACAGTCTGGGATATGAGGTAGGCATTTTAGGACTGAGATGAGGAAACATTTCTCCTCTCAAAGTGTAGTGAACCTGTGGAATTCTCCAGCCCAGCAAGTTGTGGAGGCCAAGCCACTGAATATTTTCAAGAAAAAAGTAGATAATCTTTTAGATTTTAAAGGCATGAAGGGATATCAGTAGAGAGCAGGAATATGGCATTAAGCTCAGAGGATCAGCCATGATAATACTGAATTGTGGACCAGGCACAAAGGGCATATTGTTGCTACCTGTTTCTACATCTATGTTTTAAGATTTGAAGCAGGTATCATACAGTGCTTAAGCAATATTTAAATTGAGTGATATCACAGAAAATATGGTTCGTTACCAAGATATTCAGATTTGACTGATGCTTCCAGCAAACCTCATATTCAAAATGGCCATTTTAAAATTACTGCATTTCGCTGAAATTTTAAAGTCTAGTAAAGAAAAGATAGACTGAAAAAGATTGTAACAATGAGCAATTGTGAACAAACCAATGACATTTACCAATTTTAACAAAGAGGTTGACTCATTTAAAATATCATCTGAATGGATCAATTAGATTATTTCATTGCAATAATTCTGTATTTTACTGAAATAATCCTCATTGTAATTAAAAACCTACTGACCTCTTCAATTAGATTTCTGCCATTTATCTCGCTCAGTTTGTACTTCCATCATATTTTTTACCTTGAAGATTGACAAAATCATTTTTTCCCTTAAGAATAATATGTATTTAATTAGAATAAAATTGCTCAAAATATCTGATTATTTTGAGTATTGTTAACTTTTGATCTGCAATGGGATATTTGATGCTTACAATTCAATAAAAAGGTCACTCAGCAGTTAATCATTCATCAATAGATTTATTGATTTTGATTATTTTTCAGATTGTATTAATACTTTTGCATTAATCTTGTTTTTTTTGTTTCTTATTCCTTTTTCACCTATTCATTTCTGTAGTGAGCATGCCCACTAGTGAAACTGAGTCTGTGAATCACGAGAATGTTGCTGGTGCAGAATTAGAAGATTTGAATTGCTGCACTAAGGTTGGGTAAGTCTACTATTTTAGCTACAAGTTCATCAAGGGCCAGGTAATCCAGCTCTAGCTCAAGTTAACACAATAATAAGTGACCCAGTTTTGGAACAAATTCAAAATTCTCCTTTATATTCTTGGTGGGAGTGTCAACCTGATGAATTTATAATGTAGTAGACTTTTTAAGGTATGAACTAAACATATCATAGTTTGAATTATACAAATTCCTTGTATTAACTGATATATCATGCAACAATTACCTTTCTGTTTAGCTTAAATTGAATGTTCTTTTTATTTAATCACTATTTTTCTTCCCCTCAATATTAAAACAATTCAACAATGATTACTGGGGGAAGGGCTATCGAGTTTTGACTCTTGATGCCCTGGGTATAAATGCAGGCCAGTCTGAAGAAATGAAACTTTTAATTAAATGTTAGTTCAGGGATACTTCTCCAAGGCATAAAATACCTTCATGTTTTACAAGATTAGAAACCTCTTTTATGGCTGAGATAAATGTTTTAAAAGACTTTTTACTACTGCAGCCCACCTTGTGAGTGTGAACATTTTGTTTAGCTGAAGCAGGAGAATTTTGAAGTAGATTAGACTTCTATTGGACTATATGTACGATAGACCTCAGCACTGTCATCAAAAATATAACACTCTCCAGCACTGGTCACACCCATATCTTGCTCACCTTGTAAATAAATATGTAAATTTACATTCTCATCTCCAGACAAGCATTTGCTTTTGAATAAAAATGTTAGTAATTGTTGAATTACCTCAATCAGTATTTCAGTTTAGGATGCAAGGTTGGAATATATTTTGAAGAAAGATTCAGATAAGTATTAGTATAAGAAATAAAAGAGGAAGTCTTCCTGTTTCTGAACCTGGGACTCTTAACTCATCCTATGAATGCAGGAGGTTTGAGTAATGAGGAGAACCTTGTCTTCAGCACTGAAACTTATCGACAGAAATTTCCCTGCCAACTTTGCTGCATTCGTCACGATCAAGTTATTCAGTATCTTCAGTTGCAGGATCAGAAAACTCAATTCACTAATACCAATTCGCAATTAATCAGATATTAAAATCATTTTACAGTGTGATGATTTGGTCTCTTTTTACTAAAAGGGCTCAATTTTAAATTGAATACGAGAACAAAACAAGAGGATGGTGGCTGCAGCAGGCAGGCTTGATCAGACTTAATTGCTGGACCTTATCAATAGGCTACATAACTAAAATGACTATGGGATCTATAGTAAGCAATGTCTAGCTGTTAAATTAAGGAAGAAAGTGTTCCTGATAGATTGTGCCTGGTGAGAGGTCCTGCTGATCCTCTCAGGCTTCAATATAAATGACAGATCGAATCCTGAGGACATCATCTGAACCTGATTTCCGTATTTAAAGAAGGTCACGATAGCTGTTGGCCAAACTAAATGTCTTTGGTTAGCCATTTTAATTAATCAATACAAAAATAAACAGATCAACGACAACTAAAATGGTTTAGAGAAGATATTTGATGTTTATTTGATAATTGCATAATGTGTAATTTCCAGTCTTCAGCATAAAAAAATGCCAACTTACCACAACACCATTAAATGAAACAATTTGATCCAGCTATAGTTTACTATATTTTGTTTCTTCATCTCTTTATATTAATTCTTTAAAAAGCTTCAGCAAGTTAGTTGAACATGATTTCCCCTTTTGAAATCCATGCTGACTCTTTTTAATGAACTCAGTATTATCCATGTGATTTCTAATTTGATCACTAATGATCTCCCACCACTGAAGTTAAACTAACTGATCTGTAGCTGGTCTTGTCTTTAAAAAATCTATTTGAATGGAGGCATGATATTTGCAATTTTCCATTCTTTTGGCACCTCTCCTGAGTCAGCGGGAAGATTATGGCCTATGCTCCTGCAATTTCGACTGTCATTTCCCTCAGTATTCTTGGAATCATCTCATTCACCCCCACTGCTTTGTCAGCTTAAAGATTCAAGTTCCTCTCCAGCACTTCCTACTTGTTAATTCTGAACCCTTTTACTGACAGTTTCCTCCTCTCTTCTAGTCATCAGGTCAGCATCTCCTTCCTTAGTAAAGACAGATACATAGACAGATTCTCTGAACAGATTTTTACGTGAAAGGGGATTCGTTCATTTCATGGTCAATTTGACACAATAGCAGAGTGAGACAACGGCTGAGTGTACTGACTATACTATTGGAAATTTGATTCAAATTGGAAATTTGGTGCAATGTGGGATAGTGGTGCTTTAACTAGAGTTTACTGCAAGAAGTAAACCCCCCAGAGCAAGAGGTGAGTGGGAGAAGATAAAAGGCATGGACTGAGAGACCAGCCTTCAGTAAGAACAGCAGTGGAGTACAAACCACAGCATAACACAAGTGCTAGGAAAGGAGCTGTTTGGTGAGTAGAACTAGTGAATATTTCCAGTCTTCAAAGTAAAAATAAGGTCTTCAGCTTTTGTTTAGTCTTTTCTTGTCCTTTTTCTTGACAATAACTGCTTAAAAATTAGATTGATACTAGTGATTTTCTTCATTTTACTTTATAAAAACAAGACATTATTACATTGAAGTATAAAGGGTAGGGAATATTGTGTAGTCAATTTATAAATGAAATCAAGTACAATAGTGATGGCAGGATGGGCAATGTGGTGTTGCTGTCATATCTGGAAGCTGCTGGCCGCCATTGTGATCCAAAGCAAAAACAGTGTTTTCGAGCAAGTTCAGATCTGAGTGGAGGAGCTAGAGTCTTAGCAGCAGACATTGCACCATTGCAGAGAAGGGGAAAATTACCTGAACACTTCAGAGCGTGGTCACATCCTCCAGTCCAGGTGATTCAAACTTAGTCTGTGATAAGGGACAGGAGGGTGTGAATAAAACTGAGACAGATATGAGGACCCGAGGGTTAAAACTGAGTAACCTCAGCCCCTGCAATTACAAGGTTCTGGCAAGCTTTGCAGAGAGAATTGGGACTGCAAGGAAGATGAGCAAACTGACCACAGACCCTTGGTAACAGGGAGCCATTCAGGTGAATGAGCACTTTGTCAAATTCTTGCCTTATTCTGAAAACCTAAGTATACTACATCCATCAGCTCCCCTTTATCAATTTTCTAGTATCTTCAAAAAATTCCAACAGATTCATCAAACATGATTTTCCATTTGCAACTCCATGCTGACTGTTTCAGATCATTACAAACAGATCATTATCAACCAGATATCTATTTATTCTATCCTTTGTCATAAATTCTCATTTTCTCTATTAATGATGTAAGGCTAACAAATTTTTTACTTGTTTTTCTTTCGATCCATTCTTATGTAATGGAGTATCATTTGCTATCATCTAATTTGCAGGAAACATTCCAGAATCTGTAAGACTTTGGAAGTTAATCAACAGTACATTGACTATCTCTTTAGCCACCTCCTTCAACAGTCTAGGATATACACCATCAGGTCATTGGGATTTATAAACTCGACCCCATTAATTTCTCCTGTACAATCTTCTTACTAATGCTAATTTCTTTCAAGTCCTCATTTTCCCTAGCCACTTGGAATCGTTAGTTGTGGGAGTTTTCTGGTATATTCCTCAGTGAAAATAGGCACAAAGTAATCACTTAGCTTCTCTGCCATTTCTCTATTCTCTATTATAAATTATTCTGACACTGTGTATAATGGACCCACATTCATTTCAGCTGCATGTTTCCTTTTTACATACCTATAGACACTTTTAAGTGTTTTTTGCTTGACTGCATTCATATTCTATTTTCCCTGTCTGTATCTGTTTCTTGGCTCTCCTTGGTTATATTCTATAAACCTCCCAATCCTCAGAATTGCTGCTATTTCTGACAACTTTATGGGCTTTTTCTTTTAATTTTATACAACCCTGAATTTCTTTTATCAGCCATGGGTGACTAATCTACGTAAAGTTTTTGCATCTTGAAGAAATGTATAATTGCTGTAATTCATGTAATACTTCTTTAAATAATATCCATTGCCTATATAAAGTTATGCCTTTTTATGTATTTTCCCAGTCCTCAGCTAAGTTATATTTCGTGCCTTCATAATTTTCCTTATTCAAATTTAACACTTTTGCTTCAGGCTGAATTACCTCACTCAAAACAAAATATAAAATATAAAATATCATACTTTTGTCATACATTCCTCCAAGGTTCTTTTTAGAACAAGATTATTAACCCTTTCGGGTCGGGACCCTTCTTCAGAAATGGGGGGGGCGAAGATAGCGGGGAAATAAAAAGAGAGGAGGAGTAGGTAGAGAGTGGTGGGGATTGGTCAGTGGGATGGATGGGCAGATAGGTGGGAGAGAAGATGGACAGGTTGTGTCAGGTCAAGGAGGCAGGAGGGAGGATGGGTAGGGTGGTGATAGGTTGGATGCAGGTAGGGGGAAGTTACATAATACTTGACCTAAAATAGCGTGCCCTCTAGTTGGTTCCTCAACATAATGCTCTAGAAAACCAACCCTAACGCACTCCAGAAATTTGTCCTCCACAGTTTTCATGCTCAATTGGTTTACTTAGACTATATATAGATTGAAGTTACCCATAACAACTGCATTTCTCATGCTGCATGCCGCTGTCATCTCATGGTTTATACTATGTTCCATACAACATAATATTTAGCTTTGTTTCTCATGTATTCTAGTCTCCCTAGCATCAAAATTGGAAATACTGACCAAACCTATTCATTAACCAGTTCTTTCACCCCACTGTTGGTCTAACTATAAGCAGGCATCTTGATCCATATCTTACTTGCTGTCTCGCTCTCCTCTTGCTGGAAACTTTTTATTTCTTGGAGTAAACCTTAATTAAAGCATCTGTTTGCCCCTCTGCCCCAAATTCCCACATTGCCCCAAAATTCCAGTTACTCACTTTGTCTCTATCTCAGTCCGACAATGTCTCCCTTGTTTTGACCATGCGGCTTACTCTTCACTTTAATTAAAGTTCAAGTTCGCTATTGTGAATTACTGTCTTAATGAACTCATTTTTGGT